GGGGACGCAGACTTTTCAAAAGCGTGCATCGGCGTCCCAGGCAAATAACATTTGGGGAGGGGGCAAAGTGAGTTATTTAAATGCTAGTACTTCCACAGATTTTTTCTTATTAATTTAATTTCAGTTATAAGCAATTAAGCCACAATTTTATAATTCATTTATTGAAGTTAACAAGGGCCACGGGATAGATAGAAAAATCAAGTTACGTCGCAGATATTCATGAATTCAATAATTCACTCTGACAATAAATTTAGAAAACTATCCAACACGAAAAATAGAAACACTTATTGATATATGCAATACTGAATTATGTACTGTAATGCTGATGGAACCAAAGATTGTCCTACGTCGGTCATTGCAATAAATTCATATGATAACTGATCTGGGTAAAGAAGGTCCACCAATAATTGATTTGTATGGCAAATTCACGGCATTATTCAATCATTCCTTTTCTACGCTGCTTCGAAAGTACGATTCAATTTTCGAAGGGAGCTACAGCCATACTCAGCGACATCACACATCTGCACGGAGACTGATGGGTAATTAGGTCTAGTTCACAAACCGTTTACGTCAATAGTAAAAATAAAAAAAAAAAGTCACACTGGACTTGAAAATATTGGGGAGGGGTACGTACACCCCCCGGTCCCTCTTCCAGCCAGCGACGTCAGTGAATTTGTGCGATCTAGGTGATCGGGTGACGAACATACCGATGCGAAAACCGTCTACACAGTAAGACGCGTATGTAACTGCACGACTACGCAAAAATAGTTTCAAAATTCGTGGATTTGATTCACTTCAATGTTCGAACATACCCTTGCCTTCTTTTTCGCATTAAACATCCGATTATTTCTGAATGTCTACGTACTCTCAATATATGATCTTTAATCGACCGTATAGAATGTACCCATCGTCTTAAAACCAAATGAGAATATCAATGTCCAAATACAACTTATTATTTTGGAGCATAAAGGTACTTTCTTAAACATTTACGTTTTATTCCTTACGTAATGTACCCACATCCTAAAATTCAGTCACCAAGGTGTCATTTGATAAATAATTACTATTAGAACGCCATGATCACATGCATGTCGCGTGATTGAAAAAACATTGGATCATTTGATTAAAAAAGTGATTACTGAAGTCTTAGAGGTTCAATAATTTTCACCAAAATTTCAACGCGCAGACAATGAACACAGATACTAAAAAACGTTGAATTCCATCGTTCCATTCTATTTTACTGAAATACTGATCATGGTAATTGTTTTTTTCCTCGAAATGTCGCTAAACTAACACAGCAGATTGTTATGGATTAAAAAAATGCTATAAATTACTACTAGTGAACATGTAGCTAAATATAGCGATGTATAAATTGTTTTGTTTTACATTCTCGCATATTACTTTGGCAGTATACATTAAGTTATGTAACACTACACTGAAAAAAAATTTTTCAGCAGCAAATGTATTGTAGGAAGTCACTAATAATGTGGACATTTCTTGTTCCTATTTGTAGAAAGTAACTTCCTCTAGCGCATTGTCTGGTCAGGATTCACGTTTTGTGTCCTAGACGTCCTTGATACAGTAAAATTGGTTTGTGGTAAAATGTCTGTCTGTGAAAAACACTAACAGCTAAACCTTAGGTTGAAGGTTCAACGACATTAATATTGCGCATATATTTGTCTGATGCCGTGGCCCCTTGAATTTGAAATGTATTTTTTGGTTTTGGGGGAGTCCTTTAAATGGAGCCCGAACATTTTCATAATTTTCTCAAAACTGGATTCAATTTTTTTCTTTATTTTTTCTCAGATAGTGCAAAGAAAGCTTATAAGAATGGCGCACATCCGATCTTCTTTGAATTCCCCAAATTTTCGAAAATTGCAAAAGCTTAATTTTGTTCGAGTCTTCCTATAAGTGCTATATTGAAGATATCTTTATTCTTAATGAAATCTAGTCTTAAAAATAATATCTGATAATAAGATTATGTACATTTTATTTAAAATATCAGTTTTCGCGTAATTTTGATTGAAATAAAGGCAATTTTTTCCCAAAAAGTGTTTTTTTGCATGAAATAAAGACTCCAATTTTCTTCTTTAAACTATTTTAGCCGATTGAGCTAAATGCACTAAATAACATGGGATAAAAGTTATTGTGATGTTAACTTCTATCGTTTCAAATGTTACACAAATGTAAGTTCATGTAGTAGTACGTAACAGTTATAAATAATGCGAGAAAGTACGTGCTGTTGTAGCATCACTAGTTTTATATTTCGGTGTTTCGTTTAACGTCAAACTGTATGTCACGTCTGGAAGGAAGAAATGCTACGTCTTTCAGATGTCAAGCATCATAGCTTTAGCTCAATCTTTCAAGGCAAATTGAAAGAAAATTTCAATCGAGGCTGCGATCATTCACCCAGGCTTTGAATATAAAATTAACAATCGCATTTGAATTATTATACAAGTAAATATTATTTAGTTTTTGGTGGTAAAGTGTCCAAATGCATTACCTCAGCATCGCAGCAAGACATCCTACATGACATTCGAATTTATGAATACACTTTAATAATTTTAATCACAAGTGCGTACGTACGTACGCCAAGCAATGGTAGTATTCCAAGCTCAATGAAGAAAGGCTGCAGGAATCACGTGAAAACGTATTACTCCTGTCATTTCGGATGTGAAACCAATGACGGTTCATGAGATGAAGAACGTGAATTGCCCTTTCACCTAGAAATGGCTTTCTACATATGGTACGTTATAATGAAGGAGCTTAAGAATAAGTAGTGCTTTTAAAAACTCTGTTCTCTCCTTTTTCTTCGATTCTCTTAAACTTGCGTCTTGGCAGCCTAGCAACGAGCGAAGTGAAGCGGTCTTTGTCCAGTATCTTCACTTGCATCATAGCTTGCTGGTCTAAATAAGTTTACGTGAAGGTTGCTATGGCAACCTTCGTTGGAAAATGAAGCGGACGAGACAAACCATTCACACATATAATAGGGGTCAGATAACCTCAGGTCAAAACTATACATAATGGTCTCTAGATTGCAACCATAGCGCCATGTAAACAGTTCTGATCTTGTTTTGTGAGTGTGTTGAATGTAAAAAATAACGTATCTTCCACGTGAGTTTGAACAAAAATCATAGCTTATATTATTATACGCAACTATCACACTATACATGTTTTAAAAGTGAACAGTGATTTCTGAGAAATTCTTGAATAGAATCCATCTAGAGGTCTTTTTACACAGCACAGTTTTCGTGCAGATTTCCATAGAGAAACTTTAAGATCCCAAACTAGAAGTACAAAAGCTATGTCTGGTTTGCACGTTTTCTATACAATTTGCCACACACCCAGAGCCACCTGACGTTCTGATGGCACACAAATGAATTCCTGAATTGCGCCGTCCGAGAACATTTGTGTACGTCCATTCTGAATTCTACGTGCTACTTTATGAATACAATTAAAACTCCACAACTACCAATCAGAACTCAGAAAAATGGTCAAAATCGTTTAATTATGTCTCTATACTCGTAACACAGACGTAGCCAAGGTATTTTCAGTCGGCCATGAAGCATTAACAAAAGTTTACATCACATGACGTACAACAGAAACATAATCAATGAACGAATAAAACAAATTTATATACGAATAATTGTTAGACAATCACGTAAATTTTTATAGTACAGGAGGTTAAATTAGAAAATTTACCCTACTCATACTTGGCATCAATCATCCTAACCAAGAAGTCGCTTTATTTTGTCCAGGTATATTCACTTCCCCTATTCGAACACGATGGCTCAGGGAGGGCAGTTGTGACAAAACCATTTTTTTTGTTTATAAAATCAAGTAAATTGGTTATAATTTGAAATATAGATCTTCTCATTTACATGCCTTCTTCAACATAAACAAATATGACCATAAGCATGTTGGTTTAACACTAGCTCAATTAATGGAACAACATAAAGTAATTTAAAGAAGTCCTAAGAATATTAATTATTTTCCATTTTCAAACCTTCATTTCAAACATTCTTTAAGACACAACGATGATCATAAATATACATTGCACGGCCTACTAAAATAGGAGTTTCTCAAATCCAACATGATGTCATCAAATACATTACTTAAATGGTAAAGATTTGCTTGAATTCTTCGAATTTAAAATTATTCTTTAATGGAAACGGAAAAATATTGTAACTTAACACGTGGATCAAGGGCTATAATTGCACTCGTGGTAATTAAGAATACTCGCTCCTATCGTCGCTCGTTTTCTTGAACGCACCACTCATGCAATTGTACCCCTCTTTATCAACTCGGTCTGTTAATTACTATTATTATTAACTTGACAAGGCATATACTATCGTTCACTGAAACACTTTACAGATGTTTACAAGTTTACACGTATTTAAAATCTAAGGTAGTTGAATCTAAACATTGGAGAGGATTCTATAGAGGAGATCCTCAAGGATACGTAACTTGGTTTGTTAGCATTTACAGAAACGCTAAAATGAGAATTTATTTTTTATTCTTGTATATGTCGTTTTTTTACTTGCTTGTTGATACGTTGCTTGTAACGTCGCTCTCAGACCGTAGAGTTACTGGACCGTACTGGAGTGTAACCGTAAGGATTTGCTTTGCCACTCGAATTGAACGAATATAATTTTTAAATCGAAGAATATGAACTCAGTTTATATACTTATGAAGAATATCTTAAATGTGAAAAATCCTGAGCATTCTGCCGTCTTACGGACATAAGATGAATTTGAAAAGGATGATAAATACTTAACTGATAAACTGACATGTTAGGTTTCATAACTGCCCAACAGTGCTTGTGTACCAGAGAACGCATATGCGAGTATTAAGAACATGAGTATAGGGCATTCGTTAGTCTATAAAGAAATTCGTCTTTTCACAAAGTCTTCAAAAATTTCTCATCAAACGAACGTACAATAATATTCTCGTTTCTATTATATTTCGTAAATTCCGGCTTCTGTCAAAGTCAATGAACTTACCTTGCGACTGCTTGTTAGGGATACGCAGCGCGATCGAATATCCTTTCTTGTCGGGGTAGAGGTTGACAATCAGAGTGTTGAGATGTTCACGTGCAACCAACTTGTCCAACAGATACGAAGACGCCTTGAAGTTCTAGAAGCAATGCAAAAGAACATCATTATTTTTCAGAGAATAACAATTTTAATCACCTTTTATAGACCTTTCCTCTGGGGAAAAGTCATGTTTACGAGTGTATTAGATTATTTATATAATATTGCATGCGCACTGTGGAAGATAAATGAAACGTTACTGACGAAGATGCAGATCAACTTGTTTAAAGGAAAATGCAATCGATAGTTTAAAAGAGTGAGTAGCGCTTAAATTCTTCCTACAATGAAACGCTGCTAAAACTAAGTGTGTCAATTACTATCTTAAATGCATGGCAACTGTTCTGGATATGAGTCAGTTAATGATCTCGAGTTCTCGACGTTAGATTCATCATGCATAATGTTACACTAGTAACAAACTTAGAAATAAAATGGCGTCGTGATCCCCATTGAAAAGCCTTTAATCACCTCGGGCACGATCGTCAGTAGCATCAGCATCATTGCGAAGAATGATACAGAAGAATGATTCTGTAGTTAAGAAATGCCTAAAATGAACGACTTTCTATAAAATCTTTTCGTCAGTTGCAGGGAAATGTATAAGGGAGATTATTGCATTTAATGATAATGTGATTTAATGGTGATTTATTTAAATCTAAGCAGCGAAATTATGAAATTAATAATTTTATATGCATGGTTAATTATATCGAAAGGGATTGCTTACGAACCCTACCTCTTACATTTGTTTCGGACTGATTTTAATTACTGGCATGTCATTCGCAAAGGATGAGGTATAGATTTGAAACGTATTTAGATATAACGATTTTTCACTAATTTTTTTCCATCCAAAAATGGAATAGACGAAATGTATTGTCTCCAAACCACAAGTCTGATCCAATAAATCACCCGAGGAACATAAGGGGAGAAGGAAGTTTTCCTCTCCTTGCTCACAGCAAGACATTAAGAAGAGCTGCTTCCAATAGCGCTGAGCCCAATTTGAGTTTTGACCTGACACGCGAAATCGAAGTGCTACTAGGAACTTTCTACATCTCAGCTTGAATCAAATGAATAAGGAGAAATGAGTCGGCAATAATAATGGGAGTGAAGACTGGGATGCTGACGGAAGGGACTTTGAGACCAAGGAGCGTTGGGAGACACTGCTACGACGTCTCACTACTACGAACAAATTTCACATGAGATTCTCTTCAGGGATTCTACAGGAATCGACCACGGAACCTCAGAGGTGAAAGGCAAGCGGCTTCGAAACTGAGCCACGAGAGCATAACAAGGTCTATAAATTCCGATTAAGTGTCCCTTTAAGATCACGCGCGGGTCGGAAAGAACGGGGGGGGGGGGTAGCAGTCGAGTAATGTACGGGCCGCGACGCGGGTTGGCCCAAGTAAAAGAAGGTATATTTTAAGGGATTTTTTTAATTATCTAAGGTACTACTAACACCAATTCTGTAAAGGGGACCCGTTCTAACACTATACGTTCATAAAGAGGGCCCTGATAAACGTTTGCGGGCGGGTCCGCTCTCACTCCGTTAAGCTACTAGGGGACACAGCCATCCAATCGGGAGCTTCAATACCAAGAAAATTCAAGACAATGTCCCCATTTCCTTCCAGCTCGTGACCTTGAAGGGCCACTACATTTAAATCAGAGTACAGCGCGCGACCACGATTTCCTCAAACCAGCAAGCGCCTTAGGGCACGCCCACCAAACTCTGCAGTGGGGCCGACAGAGGAAGAAGCACGCGAATGGCCAGAACGGTGTGGAACGCGGGCTGCTCCGCGGGCCGGTAAGTTCCCAGCGAGAGAAAACTAGGGTTACCATACGTCCTCTTTTCCCAGGTAATGCCCTCTTTTTGAAATAAGAAAAACTGTCCGGGTGAATTTTGCAAGAAAAGACTAAATGTCCTTTTCTTATTGGAAAGGGGCTACTATTTTAAAATGCAATCTAGACGTATGATGTAATATCAATACTGGTCTTTTGTCAACGTTTTCGAGTCCCCGACATTATAACATTGGTTGTATAATCGCCTATCAACCGCTAGAATCCATAGATCAACTATATCTACATTTACGACCTTCTCTCCATGAAATGTGACAGTGCTGCCATCAGCAGGTTCAACATATTTAACAACGTATTGTATGATAGTGCTGGTTATAGATTCTGTGGTGTTAATACTATTCTCCTAGCGGTTGGAGTTCATATTACTCAGTGGTGTTTCTATTTCGAGCAGGGTGTCAAAAAGAAAAGCTTTGTTTAATGGCACACTTAGACGTTCAAAGCAATTGTTGCAAGGTTCAAAGCAAAATTTTTAATTCTTGAAGGAGATTTAAGCATCCACCAAATATGTCTGGCAAAAAAGTGGTGTCAATGATTGAAGTATTTCTTTGTTAGAAGTATTTTCTCTTTAAGAAAAATAAATTATATTAAGACAATTTATTTCAAATGTCCTCTTTTTTATACAAAGAGTCCTTTTTTTTCATAATGGAAGTATGGTAACCCCAGGGAAAACGGGGAAGGGCTACTTCATGAGAAAGCTGTAAACAGGTCGCAACCGATGCGTGGGTGAATTAAAGGACATTTTTTAAAGTATTTACACATTTTTATATCCGTTGACACTTAAACAACACACTTACAAATTTTTGTTGTTATTTAAGAATTGTTTTACTTAAAAACAAGGGTACAGGCGAATTTGAAAGTTTAAAAGCAAAATAAAGAAAAACGTTTAAGTAAAAAAAATCTACGACACATCGAACAAAATGTTTAATGTGTTCAGGCTGCGTAAATGAAAATTCTCACATCCTTTTCGGAAAATCTGTCAGCCCTACTCGAATGCGGTGAAATTATGCGTCCTTCACTATCGTTATCCTCGTGACTCCCCAACCAGCATTTGCGCACGCATTCCTTCGTTTAACATCCCTCTTGTTTTCACCTCACCATGCTCTGTTGAATGCTCCACAAGGACTTTCTCGCTTATCGTTCTGGGCCTCTACCGTTCCCGTACAGACCATGAAGGCTTCTAAAGTTCTACACCAAACCCGATGATAGGCAGACGGGCCCATAATGGCAGATAATGCGATGATAGGCAGACGGGCCGATGATAGGCAATCGGACGGACAGGCAGTTACGATGGGTGGGCAGTCATATCGATTTGTAACGGCAAACCCCTTCAGCATTATCATTTGAATTTGAGAAGCAGTAAACAGTTTATTGCACGTTTTTCGAAATTATTTATAATGTATCCCTTAATAATTACGGGATACATTATAAATCATTGCTCCATTGTATAATCTCCCAAATCGGATTTCTATACGAAGCATTCAGAAGCTTTAGAACAGACGACTTTTCGAGTACAGGAAATTATTGTATTTATCAATCTTTTTAACTCAAAAATAAGAATTTATAAAGAAGAGAGTATTGTCTCAATCGAAGTTTAGACTTCTAATGTTACTTCTACCGCTAAATGTTTGTGATTATTTTCAACAATGAAAGTTTTTTTCGAATTTTGAAACTAAAAAGGAAGCAGACATGAAGTAGCTATCATTCATGATTCAACTATCACGTTCAGTGTTAAATAACCACAACAGTAATAAATGTGCAAGGAATTGCTGGTTAGAAACGCCTTCGTCAAAGGCAAAACCTACTGTGTTGTGAAAATTGTGAAATACATTCGTTTGAAACCGGATCAACGAGTAGAATGATCTCAGAATTAGCCACACCAATTAAGTAAAGAAAGAGGGTCTTATGTAAAATGATATTGGATAGAGTGCGAGAGCATTCCTCCGTTAGACTCCGTATTGAAACCCCACGCTCAGGTGTCGCTTTGGTTATTTCCACCATGGCTGCTCCAAGCACCTCCCGTCGCCCCCGATCCCCCTCTCTCCTCTTCATAGCTGCAGTTGCAACGCGTTTCTCGAAGCGGCGCAGCGCCGAATATTCGAAGTGAGCGCCCAGACGCAGAAAAGGCCAGTTTTCTCGAAAACGGAAATTTTCGAGAGAAAACCTGCTCTTCGAATAACCGTAAGGTTCACACGATTTTAAGTCACGAATAATCACATATTATGACGATTTGATGATGAATCGCGAAGAGATACAAGTACATTCAAATTATGAAAAAATGACATGTTCATACATTTATTTATGTAGGAGAGACGATCTCATTTCACAACAGATCTTACGAAGAAATTGAAAGAATAATTGTTTTGGCATGGAATCAATTTTGGGAATTGTTCTTTATACTTCTAGACAAAATTCAAAACATTGAGACGAAGAAAACAATATTGGATAGTTACGTTTGTGTTACTGGTAGAACGCCAGCCCTGACAGAGAAGCAAAGAATTATTGCTGTCAAAGAAGGATGGAAGAAAAACCCTGCATGTACAGATCCAACAAAAGATAAGAAACGAAACAACAAACATTACCGGAATAACTGATATCCAAACCATGCTGAAAAAATTGAAATGGAAATGGGGAGTACACGTTGCCACGCTGGAGTCAGCGAGATGGGCTCACGACACCACACCGTGGAATCCCAGATTCGGAAGACGTGTGTGAAGACACGCTGGTGCAGCAAAATGCAGTGTGTAATAGGGACACAGTGGAGACGACTAGCACTAGATAGATTACAGTAGAAGAAAAAGAGCCACGATTTGCGAGTGACAAAACTGAGTAATAAATGGGAAGAGAAGTTCAAGTGAAATAATACTGAATACATGCAAATGAAGTTCAATTTAAAGAGAATAAACAAATAATAATAATAATATAGACTTGTATAGTTCTACTGATTATTGATTAGTCTTTTTGTAAAAAAGAATATTAGTGTTAAATTATAGGTAAAGCAAGTTCAAAAATTTTAATTAAAATTAACAGATACTACTACCAACTCATAATATTAGAAGTGGCTGCTCTGATGGCTACTCAGGAGATGTCCATGACTTAATAATAATAATAATAATAATAATAATAATAATAATAATGCCGTACCAGGTACCCGAGATCGCTAAGGCAATAGTGCCGTGGGGGTCGTGAACCGAAGGATCG